CTCCCTCCCTACCTCTCGGACCCACCCCCGGCCCTACGTGATCCGTCCTTGCCTTAGTCTTTACCCTTCAACTTTAACCCCCTGCTCCTGCTAAGATAGCATAGCGGTCAGTCATAAAGTGGCGTACACCTAAGAAACTGTCTTCTTGATTCCGGTGCATTTTTTATGCAATGCAAAATAAATGTTATGGAAGTGCTAAGTTAAGCCAATGCAAGCTTTCATAGCGCCTGACAGCTGACGGGTAGGCAACATCGTGCCCGCAGTGCACCCGTGCACGGCAGGGGTGCCTATCCCACGCCTCACAGGCGCCGAGCTCTCGTTATTTGCTAAATGACTTTTTATTTGAGAAAAAAACAACAAAAAAAACAACAAGAAACGGACTTACTTCCTTTGGAGTGACCGAAGGTGATTTTTTCTTCTTGACTCAAAACAGTATTTTACTTTTCGAGGAAGAACATTTTCCTCAATCGATCAAGGTAATATCTTTTCTTACGTCAAAAATTAAAACTGATCTCTGGTAAAAATGTACTTGAAAAACGAATCTGGGCGCAGTCAAGATGAAAATTGCGCTCAACTTAGAGCAAGGTGCCCAAGTGCCCAGTGATGGCCACTCTGTGCTATCCGCCGACGCGGGTCGCAGTGCGGGGGCAGCAGTACGCTAACACCCCTCGATTTAGCTTGATTTAGCTGCTTGTTTTAGCCAACCCGTAGGCGGGGCTGTCTGGACCTGGTCTCTTCTCATATTTTTCCCCCGCAGCGTGCACGCGCCGCTTCTGTTTCTAGCGAACTCGAGCCCATAGTCGGCCTGCACACATACCAAACCATTTTCCTCATACGCTGCAGTGATGTGTGTATGTATCTTTTGGTAACGTGCACGCTCATGTGCTTAAACAACAACAACAACAACACAAACACAGAATTTTGACCAAAACTGTCCATATTATGTACGCACAATATTCGGAATTTTTTCGTAGCTATAGTATGAAAATGAAAATTAAGCTCGAATTAAGCAAGAGTGCGCGTGACGTCAGAAAAACATGTAGCTTGTCGTGTTGTTGTTTGTTATACAGTACGTCACCAAGACTGTCTCTATACTTGTACGAAAAAAAACTGCCCCCCCCCTCCTTTCTCGCTCTTTGTATTTTTATTACAAAATAAGTTCACACCAATTTAGTGTGTCGGTGCGCCGGCGCGTGACGTCAGCACACGTGCAGAGGTGTCCAGTTCGTAGCGTTCATTATCACTGACTCGTTCCCCACGCTGCCCGCTCTCTGTCTGTCTGTCTGTCCGTCTGTCTGTCTGCCTGTCCGCAGGGATCTGCAGTCCTACGTAACGACGTTCGTAGGACGAATACGCTACAGTTAGAGAACGTAACAAGGAGAAATCTTGCGAGTGACAAATTGTTATTAAATAAATCTGCGAATTGCCCTGTATACGGGTATGAAAGGCCCGTCGCAAAAGTCGCAAGCTGTAACTCTTAACTCCTCCGGCCAAAATACCGCGAAATAAAATGTTGAAAGCCTCTGTTTGCGACACTATTACCGTTGCGGTGGCTGCTTTGCTTGCCAACATTTTTGCAGTCCGTAACGACTGTCAAATTTTGTCAGTCATAGACTGCCAATAATTCTTTTTTGGCTCATTTTGGCTTCTTTACACTTCAGAAATTTGTCCCCCGCTGAAAGATTGTCCAAAAAAAAAAAAAAAATGAAATAAAAAAATAGCAGTCCTCTTAAAGACTGACAAAATTTGGTAGTCAAAATATGAATGCTGAAGTTTTGACAAACAAATTAAGCGGTCACGACGTTTACAGTGGAGACGGTTTGCTTGCTATAAAGTCCTCGCTTTTTCGGGTGTTCTCTTCACGGACATCTCTGATGCCGAATGTCCGCCACCAAACACGCGTTCTCATGCACTCAATACTCTGGCCAGCCATCGCAGGTCCACGGCATTCAATTGCGATGATCGTTTGATTTTTTATTATTATTTTAAATTTGGGTGCACGGGAAATTACCACAATGACGAAGCAGGTGTGTTGCAAAACATGCGGAGGGAGGTCGAGCAATGTCGCACCGAGGCACTTCCTTTTGTTTTCATTTTTTTCCCTTCATTCTTAATATGGTTATGTCTGCTCTGGTTGGCTCTTCACAAGCTTCACATGCTGTCCAATTCATGAATTTTTTTTTGCCTTCAAATAAAAATGAAACAAATACTTTCAAAAAAGCCTTTTGCTCTTTTAGTAACAGAGATGGGTGTCCTGCTATTATATTGTCATTAGTACGACGTATACGTATACTCTCAGCATTTTGTCTCGCGGGCGCAGTAGTCACTCGAGGGGCCACGAGGCTTGGCAAAAAAAGTAATCCGTCGGTAACCTTGTTGTTGCTGCCTCCTGCCCTTCATGGCGGTGCCGCGGTGAGCGGTGGTGAGCGGGGCTCTCTGCTTGTCACGCCCCCCGCCCTGCCTTGCGCGGCAGTTCGCCAAGCGCAAAGTCATGGGAGTCCAGCAAAGGGCTATGCTTATTCGCCTCACGGAAATTTTACGCGAAAAAATAATATAATATCACGAAAATCATTTGTGACAAAGACGAGATAAAACTTAACTTTACAATTTTTTTTATTTTTTTTTACAAAAAAGTCGTGTCTGCACTGGAAAAAATAAAGGTTCTGTCTAAATATCTTGGCGTTACTGAAATAGTGCCTTTTTAAAGGCGCTCCTGCCCCCCCCCCCAAGTCTTGCCAATAATTCATCATCGAGATTCTCAAATTCTAATGCTATGGCGACACTCGACACTGATTTTTTAATTTTCTAAAATGAAGTCAGCGAGGAATGAGCCTGCTATGCTATTGTCGAAGAAACATGTGCATCTTGAGTTGTACAGCTTCACAACCTTCCTTTCTTTTTCAAAGAAAAATCCCATTGAAACCAGGAATGGAATATTTTGCACATACTGTCTGAGCCAGCCGCTCCCTTTCACTGCTCCCGGGTTTCCTTAAAGGTGAGGTACCCCCTGGGCGCCGCCATTTGGGCGCTTCTCTTCCGCTGCGGTTGCCAGACTCTGCAGGTGCAGGAGGTGCAGGCCAAACTTACCTTGAGGACCACAGCCGCTGGCACTGGAGGGGAGGCGGCGGAGGCGGGAGGAGTGCTGACCTCGACGTTTGCGACGAGTGCGAGCTTCTCTTGCGTCATCATCATCGCCGCCTATTTTGTAATCTCGCGCCAGACTTAAAATTGAGCGATTAGGGCTGGAAATCTCCAAAATTTTCCGAAAAATTTCCGAAAAATTCCGAAAAATTCCCAGAAAATGACTATGAAAACTTGCGAAGCCTGGGAAATTTCCATTTTCCCCGAAACTTTTCCGCTTTTTCCGAAATTTTCCGGAAAATTTTGGAGATTTCCAGCCCTATTCGTGATCATCATCGTGGTACGGCTGGAATGCGGGTAGCGGTGCCGGCGGTGTGCGCTCGGCAGCCCGCCGTACGGCGCCAGGGTGGGCCGGCCCACCCCGTGCAACTGCCAGGCGGTGGCCTACTCGCCCGGCGCCGGGGGCCCCGCTGAGAGCCACCTCCGTGAAGCTGGCCCATTGCCGTACTAATTCTGCCGATAGTACCACGATTTAGTACCCAATTAGATGACATATCTAACCTAAATACAAAATGCGCCTGGTCACCCTTTGCTGCTCGGTGAACATGCGTTTAACACGTTCAGAGGGTACCCAACCATGAAAACGTTCCGAGAACGTTCCTGAGAGTGTTATTGTGGCTTGTTACTGCAAAGAGCAGTCGCAGCACGTTGACGATGATCTACCACGTCCATACGTTGATCGCGTTGTTTCCTGTTGCAGCTGACGGCTGGCTCGGGTCCGACGCCGCTGAACCTGCAGCTGCTGAGCTCGTGCCTGCAGCAGGCCTCCCAGCTGCTGGAGTGCCCCGTGTGCCTGGAGGGCGTGTCGCCGCCGGTGTGGCAGTGCTGCCACGGCCACCTGCTGTGTTCCGGGTGCCGCTCGCGGTCGGACCGCTGCCCTCTGTGCCGGGTGCCGCTCGGGCCCCGGGGCCGCAGCCTCCTCGCCGACAAGCTCCACGACCTGCTGACGCAGACGTACCTCCGCTACTCGGAGCAGCGCCAGGGCGGGGCGCCGGCCGGCGCGCAGGCCGCTCTCCAGGACGACCAGGTCACCGAGGCACAGCACCAGCAGCAGACGAACGAGGACTCCGTCGACCAGCGCGTCGGAGTGCTCACCCGGGGCCAGAGGCTGACGGCTTCCTCCGAAGACGTGTCCGCGCCGGCACCTGCGCCCGCCGGCCAGCAGCCCAGGGCGCGCTCACAGTCCGCCGGGCACATCGGCGTCGTCCTGGCTGACGGCAAGGAGGACCCCGTCGTGCACTGCCCCTACGGCTCCGCCTGCCCCAACACGTGTCCAGCTTCTGAGGTCTTCAATCACCTGAGAGAGGTGAGAAAGAGAGAGAGAGAGAGAGAGAGAGAGGGGGGGGGGGGGGGGGGGGGGGGGTAGTGAGGGAGTGAGGGAGTCCGCTCCGCGGCCGCTGCTGAGCTGCAGCGTGACTGACGTCACGGCGTGGAGGACGGCAAAACAACATCTAGAGCCACAACGGCGCATCGACGCATCCTTACTCCCCGCCCTGCCCCACCCCGCCCCTCTCCGCCCCGCCCCACCGTCCACATCCATACCGTGTTGCTCCATCGGGGACCGCAGTTTCGGTGCGGCCGACTTTCTGTCGGAGATGCATTTCCTAATTCACCTCAGAATGTTCACTGCGAGCAGGGCCCGAGCACTAAAGAGAGGGATCGCCGTATTGCGTCTCTCTGGGACTCGACTGAAACTGCGGTGTATGACCTTCAGTCAGGTTTCGATTTGATGGCAAAGGGGGCCACAAGACAGCTGACTCTGAAAATGGACTGGATTATTCCTGTTATTACCCGCCGAATTCACCGATGACACTGTAACAAGGAGGGGGGAAGGGGGGGGGGTGAGTCGGAGGTTTTCGAGCGGCGAGCTCCAGCAATCCCCTGCTTTTAATTTCAGCCCGGGGGGTTGGGGGGGGGGCGAGTTTAGCCCAGTCCGGGACAAGAAGAACAACTGGTGCAGCAAGGCTTTCCCTTTCCGCGTGTAATCCGCGCGCACCGCCAGGAGGGTCGTCGTGTCGCAAAGGCCTCATCATAAAAATGCAGCCAGCGTGACGGGCGGCACGGCGGGCTTCCTCCGTCCGACGCGATTCGCCCCGACTCGAACCTATATTACTCTCGTCATACAGGGGATGAAATCCAATAGTTGCCCTCTCTTCCTCCATCCCTCCCTTCCCCTCCCTCCCCCCACTCTGTTGTCTCTGGTGCCACCCAATTTCTCATACCTCAAGCTCCGCGGAGCAGGACCGACTCGCTGCACTCCCCCCCCCCCTCCCCTTCCAACACCGCAGCGCGTCGTCGTCGTCGGGATCCCAATGCAGTCCGGCACGGAGCAGCTAAAGATCGTACAAACCGGTTTTGGCCACTTGACGCACGGACGGACAGACGGACGGACGGCGGGCCCGGACAGGGCAGCCACGCCGGAGCGCAGGATGCCAGGGGCACGCCGACGTACGTGTGGCGCAACATGCTCGTCCCCCTCCCCTCCTCCATGGACATGCAGAACGCCACGTATGGGCGAGACTGCCCCCCCCC